CCACCTCAACCTGTGATACTAGCTAGTTTTAAATTTTTCACAAAAAATCATGCCAATAGACGTGTATCTATTGATTTATTGGCACGCTCAAGTTGTCATAAACACAAAAATATAGACACTACTCTTGTTGTGCTTATTCCTTGTTCAGACACAACTTTTGTATTTGATAAAAAACATGGTGCAAAGGAAGCATGGCTATGCTGAAAATGATGAAAACGATTTGAGATCTCCATTGATTTCATGATCCGTACAAAGGCGGCTAAGAACTGTTACAAAACATGAGCAACCCTACTTGCTATCAAAGCATTTAAATACTAAGCTAAAGAAAGAACTAGAAGGATGACACTTGTCATAATCTTAATACATGAGACAAATACATGTAGATGCTTATCCAATGGTGCAGAGAGAATGCTGCAGGTAGCTGTTGAGTTTGGACGTATTAGCTGGTCCATGCAACGTGCCAAAATAACATGCAGGCTTGGACCAAGTAAGGGCTGCTTTATTGCTTTGGTTAAGAGCTTGATCTTCATTAACTTCTAACACTCCCCTGCAATTCGAACCTGGTTGAGCTACAACACAGAGCTTGATCCTCAACTTGGTGAAGGATTGATCACTCAATGCTTTTGTTAAAATATCAGCTATTTGGAATTGACTGAGAACATGTCTGATCTCAAGAGTTTGAGCTGCAACCTTCTCTCTAACAAAGTGATAATCAAGCTCTATGTGCTTTGTCCTTCCATGCATGATGGGATTTGAAGCTATTGCTATAGCACTTAGATTATCAATCCAAATAACTGGCTTTTCTTGCTTTGTAATCTGCAGCTCTTCAAATAAGCTCTTCAGCCAAATGATCTCTGATGTAACATGAGCTAAGCTCTTGTATTCAGCTTCAGCACTTGATCTGGACACAGATGCTTGCTTCTTTGAACTCCATGACACAATGTTACCTCCAATATAGACACAAAATCCACTTGTTGACCTTCTGTCATCTAAATCTGCTGCCCAATCTGAGTCACAGAAGCCAACTATGTCCAAATTGTCACTCTTTGTGATTTTAAGACCAAAATTTATACTGCCAGCTATATACTTGAGAATTCTCTTGATGGCCTTCCAATGTTCATCATTTGGATTTGACATGTATTGGCTTACTTTGTTGACAGCAAAGGCAATCTCTGGTCTTGTGAGAGTAAGATATTGCAGTCCACCAACAATCCCTCTATACAATGTAGCTTCAACACTGTTTTCAGTTTGATTCTTTTTCAGAAAACAGCTTGTTGACATAGGAGTGCTGCAACCTTTGGCATTATACATGAAGGCTTTAGATAAGAGCTCTTCAGCATATCTTTCTTGGGACAAGAAAATCCCTTTGTCAGATCTGTGCACCTTCATTCCTAGGAAATGATGAACTTCCTCCAAGTCCTTCAATGAGAACTTGGAACTCAGCTGAAGAATAACCTTTTCAATCTCGGAATTATCACCACCTGTTATAAGTATATCATCAACATAAATCAAGATCATGACAACTGAGTTTAAAGATCTTCTATAGAATAAAGAGTTATCTGACTGTGAGCAACAGAAACCCATTTGGTTGAGGGTGTCTTTCACTTTGAAAAACCAAGCTCTTGAGGCTTGTTTAAGACCATAGATTGCTTTCTTCAATCTGCACACTTTGTTATCTGAATTTTTCTTCTGAAATCCTGGAGGCTGCATCATATATATTTCTTCAGTAAGATCACCATTCAAGAAAGCATTATTGATGTCAAGTTGCCTCACAGACCAAGAGAAATGGACTGCAATAGTAAGAATGACCCTTATGGTTGAGTGCTTAACTACTGGACTAAAAGTTTCCTTGAAATCAAAGCCAGCAACTTGAGAATAACCTTGTGCCACCAATCTTGCCTTATATCTAGAAATGGATCCATCTGAATTCTTCTTCAGTTTGAAGACCCATTTACAGCCAACAATATTTTTTTTTAAAGGTGCATCAACTAAATCCCATGTGTCATTATCAATTAATGCTTTCAGTTCAAGTTCCATGGCATTTGTCCTGAGATGATTGCAAAGCCTCATCAAAGGATGTTGGCTCCTTTT